GTAAAAAAGGCCCAGGAAGTGAAAATAAAGTTTCAGAGCCGACATTTCCAAACAGCAAAGGCCGCTGACCCTGGTAAGCCGACAGCTTATGTCGAAAAGATGTAAACGGCGATTGCGCAGGGTCATTTACTGAGATCGGCAAACAATCGCAGCCTCGGACAGCCTAGCCAGCCAAATGTGCACATCAACGGATATACTGCAGCACAACCTCAACCACAACATTCCACTCCGTACCTGTCTATCTCCAAGAAATGCAGAAATAAGCAAACATTTATAAGGGAAAATCACGAGCGCATTCCAAATGTGTGCCTTGTTGGACGTAATCGGAATATATCCAACATTGCAAAATGTCATTGTTTGTACTGAAAATAAAATATACCTAGTGGATGGGAGTCACATAGGCAATGGTCATTGGTCATTGAGCATGCATATTAACATAAAACCTTTACCAGTCTACAACAGCTATCGATTTACCTTCGGAGCAAAACCTGCTCGATAACAGTCGTTAAGAGCTAAGGATTACCTACCCGATCTCAACGTTTCAAAAAAGGGAACTGACAGTCCCATTTCACTTCCTTACAGCCTACAGATCTTCATACTTTAGTATCTCTGCCGTTGACCAACGCTCATTGAAATGTCACATTCACCGCATAGCTCCAGGAGTTAGGGGAAGTTGGGGGAACGCCGAATACTTTTTTTCTGACGCCCGTAGCACGCAAGGTAGACAACATAAGCTATTCTTGTTGGCGTCATTCGAGAGGCCAGTCTTTTGCCTTTCAAACATACCAGGTGCATTTGATGAATTCGCATACCGTTAAGCGCACAAACTAAAAATATCCAAGAAGTGACTTTTTCGGCGTTGCCCCGGACTGCGGGGAAAGCCGAAAATGGAAGAAATGATCTACGGGGAATGCCGACATTGATGTTTTGCTATCTCAAACTTTATCCAGAATTTATCAAAGCTGACACGCGTTTTAAGAGCTTGAGGACGATTGGTGCACACTGGAAGTTATAATTGTGTGATATGATATAATAAGAAAATGCCAGGTAAATAATTCCTTATAGGTAACAGGCCGTTGTGTCGGTTGAAAGTGTAACTTGTGTGACTAAAAATTCGCGTTGCTATTCTACATCAGTAAAGTCCACGTAGCGTGCTTTAACGTGCGTAATTGCACGTTTTCGGCATTACCCCAGCCAGCCATACATTTGCAGGCCCATAACTTTTCAACGTGCCGTATAAATTTCAAATAGGCAGCACACTTATGCAAAGACATGCTGAAGATTACTTGACCGAATTGGCCAGACAAACGGTAGCATAATGAGTAAGAAATGCAGCTTCAAAGGCGCATGTAGTACAAGGAACGCGTACCTTGAAAACGCTCTTGGCGCCCTCACAGCCGAAGTATTCCGAATGACGACTCGTAACAAACATGCGATAATTGTAGTCACTTAAGCTTCAGAGCATCACTGACAGGTGGCATCCATGTCTTACAGTTTTCGAAATATCTCGAATTTCGGCTTTGCCCCAACTCCGGCATTGCCCCAACTTCCCCTACTAAACATCCTTCCTTCAGTATTAGAACCGGACGCAGATTTTGATGGAATCGGTCACGCCGGGAATTCGTACTGTCAACATGACTTCTGTACAAGTTACGATAATGAACGTAAATAACTAAGCACTACAAGGAACTTTGCATAAGTGATTAGCATAAACTTCCAAAAGAATCTCTTGTTAATGACAAGAACTGTCAGTTCCATTAACTTCTTTAAGGTAGGTGGAAAGCGTTTTTTTTTTTTGCACCGAGAACGTGTAGTACTTTTAGAAATGTTCCGTTTTGTGGCACTTGTTCCCTGTGTTGTTGATAAAATCGTGATGCCCCGTCCGGTGCCACCCCCCCCCCCCCGTCCGTCTGTCATCCCACCAGAGCGATGGTTTGCGAGGTCCGACCGGGTGCCCCCCCCCGGCACTCCACCCCTGCCCCACTCATGCTCACCTGCATCACCACCTTGGGCCGGTTGCGGCAGATCTCCTGCAGGTGCCGGTGGTACTCGGGGTCCTTGGACTTGACGTTCTCGATCACCCTGTCGGCCAGCTTGAAGAGCTGCTCGGTGGAGGGCTTGCAGTGTCGCAGCAGCAGGTCCAGGTACAGAGCCAGCTGAATCACGTAGGACTCTGGAATGGAACACATGTCCTGTGGTTGCACTACCGCAGGTAGTCCCGAATTCTGATAATGTGACGGTGACGCTATAACTAAAACGTCTGTCTTGAAACCGACCTCTTGACAACCCGCAGACCGCAGAGTTCAGAGTTGCGATGAAATCATTATAGTAAACGGCCGTCATAACCGTACCATGGATGAGATAATAATGGATTGGTGTCTTCGCAGTTTTTGGCGACATTGAGCTCAGGCCTGCCATCTAGCGGGAGAATTGTCGTAAGTTAGGAGCAAGCCGAGTGAACGCCGCTGATTAGCATTGTGACACACGGGAGTGTGGTGTAGTAGCAGGCTCATAGGCGGCGGAACGATTTGAGACAAGGGGGGCACCAGCTCAAGGAGCCAAACCTAGGGTAGGTACCCCCAAATCCTGTTTTCTCATCGGATTTAGGCCACTTAGGGGAAGCGGGGGTAGCACCGCCATGTGGGCAACACCGCCATCCCCTCTATCGGCAAAACTCTGAATTGTTAATGTAAACATCCGCCATTTCGGTGTCCGAACGGAAGCGGGGCGCCGCGTGAGGTAGGTTTCGCTAAGATTTATTTGATTTTAAGATCGCAATTGCCCATTTTGTGAATTTCTAACCATCGTTGTAATCATTTGGTATGTTTTAGCAGCAAGTAACTGGTCATTTCAAGTAAAAATACCTCGATTTTTACGTTAAATTCGAGGGCATGAAGTGCTCTTCAATTACAGAAGAATCGCGTCCCGGCTTGTTTTCCCGTCGGGGCGTTGTCGGTCCATGACTGTGTGTGGGTTAACACCGCCATGCTCGGCGGTGCTACCCCCAGGGGTGGCAAAATGGATAAAGCCGCAATGATGACTCACTCAGCTCGGAGAAGAGCTTTAGTTAGGCCGCAAACGTCGTCTGTTTTTTAACCTCACGTTCGACTTCACTGGTCCACTGGATGTTTCGAAATAAACGTGAATTTGCCAGGCTTTGTATGCATATTGTTGGATATTTAGCGTATGCCGTAGGTACTCTCTGCCTCTGTAGAGTAGATGGCGCTGGTGTTTGTAACACTTTTCGTAAACCTTGACGTTGATGTCGTGTGTGTCACGTGCCGAGGCGGAAGTGACGCCGTTTTGTTGTGTTTTGGGCACGCCACTTCTCTGACTGCCGGACCCATGTGCGGGTCGCTGTCAGTGTCAGCCAAATTTAACGTACTTGGGATGCGGAACATTAGTAACCTTTGAGCTCTTTATGCGGCTGGCCTTTGTGCCTTTTACTACACCGCTTGATTCTGGGATCGTGATTGCCTTGCAATGCAAATGTGTGGCAATACAAGTCAAGTGAGACTTGAGAGTGTGAAAGTTTGAACCGGACTGAAGTCGTTAAGTAATATTGGTGCCGAAACTCGGGGATTTCGATTTGCTGGTTGCTCATGTGACCATGTCTGTTGAGGAGCTAAAAAGGGCTCGTGTCGCTGCTCGTGGATGGCTGAAGAGAGCAGTAATCAAGATTGATCAGGCTGTGGCCTCTGGCGCAGATGATGTTGAGCTCAACAGTATTATCAGTGAGTTCAATCTGAGGCTTGGTAATCTTGATGCAGTGCAGCAGAAACTGGAGCTCTGTCTGGATGAGTCTGAGTTGGAAGAAGACATCTCGAGAGCATCTGAGGTTCGTGATGCTGCATTGGAGTCACGCTTGCGAGCTCTGAGGTTTGTCGACAAAAGGTCTGCTAAATCTTCGAAGCCAGGTGAGACTGATCCCCCTCTCTCTGTTGCAAGTCAGAACGTAAAGCTACCAACACTGCAGCTTCCCAAGTTTGGTGGGCAAGTTCTTGAGTGGGAGCCCTTCTGGGACCAGTTTGTGGCCAGTGTTGATATTTCTGATTTGCCAGAGGTGTCCAAGCTTGTCTATCTCAAGTCCCTGTTGTACGGTGATGCTCGACAAGCTATAGATGGTTTGGCTGTGGTCAGTGAGAACTACAAAGTAGCCTGTGATATTCTGAAGGAACGATTTGCAAGACCTGCTCAGATTATTTTTTCTCATGTGGAAAAACTGCTGAAACTTGGTGTGCATGACAGCAAAGACCTGAAATCTGTTCAAGATAGCTTGTTGCTGCATATCCGTAGCCTTGAGAGACTTGGTGTTGGTGGGGAGACGTACGGAGTGATTCTAACCCCTCTGGTTTTGAGTCGCCTGCCTGACTCTTTCCGTTTGGAGTTGGCTCGGGGGAGTGCTGGCCGTGAGGGTGACTTAAACTTTCTCCTCAACTGTCTCAAGGCAGAGATTGAGCGACTGGAGCGGTCTCGAGTCCTGGAGGGCAGCTCTGTCCCTCTGGATCTGGAGCAGAGACTGCTGGCTGCTCAGAAGAGGAATGGACGTCGGCCCCAGCCGGCGTTTCAGCGCCGTCCACCTGCTTCAAGAGGACCTGCTCCTGCCGCAGCCTCTGTGCTGCACTCTGCTGCTGTGCCGGGTGACCAACCCGCACCTGCTCTTCAAGAAGCTACAAGAGTCGTCTCTACCTCGTCTGGTTGTGGTTTCTGCAGAAAACCACACCCCACAGATAAGTGTCCTAAGGTAATTGGCCTCCCAGTTCCACAAAGACTGCACAGAATTAAGTATGCTGGCCTGTGCTTTGTGTGCTTGCAGTCAGGTCACAGAGCCCGAGAGTGCTCTCAGTGTTGTGCTGAGTGTGGTGGCAGACACAATCAGTTGTGCTGTTTTCGTCTTCATGGTGTAAAGTCAGAGCCCTCTGCTCAGAGTGTGTTGACCACAGCAGAGGAGCAGGCTTCAGGAGCTGCTCTGCCTTGTGGTGTTGAAGCAAAAACTAGACAGTGTACTGTTCTACCCACTGCCAAAGTGACTGTTCAGGGGTCTAAGGGAGCTGTGGAAGCTACATTGCTGTTTGACTCTGGATCTGATCGTACATATGTGACTGAGTCGTTGGTGAAACGTGTTGGTGCTCAGTGGCTGACCTCCCAGAGTGTGAACTTTGCTGCCTTCGGTGGTGGCAAAGCCTCTCGAGGTCAACGTGATGTGTACAAGATGTGTGTCAAAGGCATTTCTGCATCTGATTGTGACATGAAGGTGTTCCCAGCTGTGGCCGTGCCGGTGATCTGTGCACCCTTGTCTCGTCCAACTGTGCCTGATGTGTGTGTACTCGAGTTCAAGGAGCTGACGTTAGCTGACGGTGACTTCAGCAGGGACCTGTGTGTTGACATTTTGGTTGGCCTTGACTGCTACTGGAGTTTGCTCAGGTCAAGTGTCTTGATTGGTTCCTCTGGTCTTGTCGCCCAGAACTCCTGCTTTGGCTGGGTCGTCTCTGGTGCAGTGACCGATGCGCAGTGCAGCGCCAGCCTGGTCTCCTGTCGCCTCCTCTGTCTGGGCGACCTGAGGGACACAGAGGTGAGAAACCTCTGGGAGCTGGAAGGTGTTGGCATCAGCTCCAAGGAGAGTGAGTCTCATGCTGAGGACGATGCTGTCTTCAAGCAGTTTGAGTCTTCTGTGAGGTTTGAGGGGGGCAGGTACGAGGTAGGCCTTCCGTGGAAGGGTGATTCCTCTGTGACTGAGCTACAGCCTAACCGCTGTTCAGCTGAGAGAAGGCTTCAGAGCCTGTCTCGTCGTTTGAGTGGAGACGAGGAGCTCAGGGATGAGTATGACCGCGTGCTACAGGACATGGAGTTGTGTGGCGTGATTGAGGAGGTCCCCGAGTGTGAGCTTGTATGTTCCTCTGGTGTAGAGTTCTACATGCCTCATAGACCTGTAGTCCGCCCTGGTAGTGTGAGCACCAAAGTTCGTCCTGTGTTCGATGCTTCAGCTTGTGGACCCACCGGGGTCTCTCTCAATGACTGTCTGGAAGCTGGGCCGTCCCTGATTCCCAGTCTCACTGATGTGCTTCTACGGTTCAGGAGGCACAAGTATGCAGTCACTGGTGACATAAGTAAGGCGTTTCTCCAGATATCTGTGCGGCCAGAGGATAGGGACTGTCTCCGTTTTCTGTGGGAGCAGAATGGTGAAGTGCGTGTGATGCGCTTTACTCGTGTCCCTTTTGGTGTGACTTCCTCTCCGTTTCTTCTGAATGCCGTGATTAAGCATCACCTTGCCAGCCGCCCCATGTCCAGGGTGGTCTCTGAGCTGCAGGAGAACCTGTACGTTGACGATTGGTTGTCTGGTGCAGATTCCGAAGTTGAGGCCACTGAGATGTTCCTGGAGGGCAGGTCCATCCTTTCAGAGGCTGGTATGACGCTGACTAAGTGCCACTCGAACAGTGACCTTGTGCTGCAGTCCGCTGGCAGCTCTCAGGAAACTGAGACCGGGCTGAAAGTACTTGGTGTGAACTGGGACCCGGCTGCGGACGTGCTGAAGTTTGGGGGTGTCCACGTTCCGGCTGGTGTGGTTGGAACGAAGAGGGTCCTGCTGAGTCTTCTTGCAAGGATGTTTGACCCTCTGGGTTTGCTTGTTCCGTACATGATGACCGCCAAAGTTCTGTTTCAGCGGCTTTGGATCCGGGGTCTGGCGTGGGACGATCCTCTGCCGCTGTCAGACTCCGATGTCTTTGAACGGTGGCTTTCTGGTGTCTCCGTTCTTCGACAGCTGAGTGTGCCCCGCTGTTACCTGGTGGGTGACGTGTGCTGGTCTGACGTGTCTGATCAGCTGGAGCTTCACGTGTTCGGTGACGCCAGTGAGAAGGGGTACGGGTGTGTGGCGTATGTCCGGTATCCACTACCCGATGGCAGCTTCACCACTTCGTTTGTAATGGCGCGAGCTCGTGTGGCTCCCGTGAAAACAGTCGGTCTTCCCAGGCTCGAGCTGTTGGCGTGCTTGTTGGTTGCACGTTTGGTAAAGCATGTGTGCTCTGCCCTGAGACTGTCTGACGTGCGGACGTTTTGTTGGACTGACTCGACTGTGGCCCTGGCTTGGGTGACGAGTCGTCCCTCCAAGTGGAGACAGTTTGTGAGAAACCGTGTAGAGGAAATTCAAACTCTGACTGACCCCTCTGTATGGTGTCATATCTCGGGCGTGCAGAACCCCGCTGATGCAGCCTCTCGTGGACTGTTCGCAGACCAGCTGTACGAGTCTGACCTCTGGTTCGGCGGACCTGCATGGCTAAGGGCGCCACGAGTCTCGCCCGTCGACTGCAGGTTGTTTGTGACAACCGAGGAGCTGGCCGAGTCGGACACGGGCGAACGGGAGACCGCCACTGGTGAGCCGAAGTGCTCTGGTGAGCGCTTGCCAGGTCAGTGTGACGTGATTGGCGCGGAGTCGTCACCGGCGGTGGCTCTTACTCTGGAGTCTCGCCCCGACTCGCCTACTTGCGGGAATGTGTTCACTGTTGAGCGATGGAGCACGTTGACGAAGGCCGTACGGGTAGCGGCGTGGGCGAGGCGTTTTGTGTGGAACGCGCGCCACCCTGACAGCCGCAACCTGTCACCTGAACTTTCGTACCGAGAGCTGTGTGTGGGTAAGGCTGACCTGATACGACAGGCACAGCGTACTAGTTATCCGCAAGAGTGTACCGCGCTGGAACAGGGTAGGACTGTGTCCAAGAGTTCGCCTTTGTACAGGTTGTCGGCCTACCTGGCCGAGGACGGTCTCATTCGCATGAAGGGTCGTCTTCAGCTGTCCGACCTGTCAGTTGAGGAAAAGAACCCAATCACACTTCCAAAGTGTCATCTATCTCTATTGATCATTCGCTTTCAGCATAGGCTGATGAGTCACGCCGGTGTGGGCACCTTGTTGTCTGCTTTGCGGCGCACGTACTGGGTCGTGTCTGCCCGCCGCATTGCCCGGTCCGTGAAGCGCGAGTGCGTGGCGTGTCAGCGACAGGACTCACAGCCGTGCTGTGAGCCGGCTGGTCAGCTTCCCCGAGTTCGAGTGACAGAGTCATCTCCCTTCTCTGTAACTGGCATCGATTTCGCGGGTCCGCTGTTCTCTGTTGATCAGCCTGGGAAAAAGTACTATATCTGCCTCTTCACATGCGCGACCACACGAGCTGTCCATTTGGAGATGACAGATTCTCTGTCGTTGCCGGCTTTTATTCTGGCCCTTCGACGGTTTGCGGCCAGACGTGGTTGGCCGGCCATCATCTTTTCTGACAATGCTGCCTCCTTCAGAGCGTGTGCGGCTCGTCTGAAGGAAACGATGGTGGACTCTGCTCCTGAGTGGAGATTTATTGTGCCCTCTGCTCCCTGGTACGGCGGCTGGTGGGAGCGGCTGGTTCGGTCCGTTAAGGTTGGATTGCGCAAGGCTTTGGGTAAGCGGTGCCTAACTTTGACTGAACTTGAGACTGTCCTTCTGGAGATAGAGTCGTGTATAAACTCCCGACCTCTGACATTTGTGAGTGATGACGTCACCTGTGCCGATCCGTTGACTCCCAATCATTTTCTGATTGGCCGTGGCTCTGTGTTCAGTCCTGATGTGATTGAGGACCCCGAGAACGTGTCTGTGAAGTCGCTCTACCAGCGTGAGTCTGTCCGCCGTGCTCGTCTGGAGCAGTTCTGGCAGGTGTGGAAGCGTGAGTATGTGCGTAACCTCCCTGCTGCCGTTCCCCGATTTAGTTCCCGAGGTGGTTTGCGGGTAGGATCGGTGGTGATGATCCAAAAGGACAACCAGCCCCGTCTGAGGTGGCCTTGGGGAGTGGTAGAGCGGGTGCATCCGGGTAGGGACGGTGTTCTGAGAAGTGTAGATGTGCGCACCGCTAAGGGCAGTTACACGTGTGCTATTCAGCGTCTGCACAATCTTGAGGTAGTCGATGACAGCCGTGATGGCGTCCCTCCGCTCTGTGGCGGTTCCCGTGCGCCTCCATGCGGTGCCGGCGCGGCGTTTGATGTGCCTGGTGGTGTCTGTGATGGTGTTGAGGCTCCATCTGTTGGTCCGGCTGGTGAGGACCCAAGTGCGAGGGAGCCCGAGGTTCGTACTCGATCGGGTCGCGTGTCTCGGCGCCCGCGGAGATATTAGTTAAGTTAATGGCTTGTGTTTGTTGCGCCATGCGGTGTATTGTTTGATATTTGTTCGTACCATGATGTTGAGTGCTCTCTGTCGCTGAGAGGCTCTCAAGGTGGGGAGTGTTGGATATTTAGCGTATGCCGTAGGTACTTGTTGTCATTCTTCAATATTCTGATTCTGTCTGTTTACTTTATTCAGAATTAAAGTAAAAATCGATTAATCATAAATTAACGAAAGAACGTTTCTGTGATTCAAGTCCATCTGTATTCTCTCTTTTTTAGCCCGACATGCTCTGCAAGACCATTTTAAACAGGGCGAGCTGTCTCACGTGACAGACACCCAAATAGCACATCTGCTGCGTGATTCGCAACATCCTCCCCCCGTGAGATGAATAACGAACATCTCACTACACCGCTGTCACCCCTGGGACGTAGATATCCTAAGGTTGGGTTAGGTTAGCTCCCTCCAGAAGATGAAGCCGCTGAATCGGCCGCACGAGCGTCCCGTCTGTAGTGCGCACAGTCGCCGACCGCACACGAGCATCCCGTCCAGGAAGCAGCTTTTCGATTATGCCTGTTTTCCACAACGCACGCGAGGAACGCGGGTTGTCTTCTATGAGCACCAAGTCATGCTCTCTTGGTCCTCGTCTTTGGGGTCCTGCCCGGAGTGGTAGGCGGAGTGCTCTTAAGTACTCAGTGTTCCACCGCTTCCAAAGATGCTGGAGGACCTGGAGGCGATATTTTCTCATCGATTTGAGATCACGACCAGAGACAGAAAATGCGTCCGTATACTGATGGTCGCCAGTCCCAGGCTTAGAAGGATTGTCTCGTAAGAAGTCCTGTGGCGAGAGAGGGCGGATGTCATCTGGGTCGTCGTTGAGGGCCGTCAGCGGTCTGGCGTTGATGGCCGCCTCGATTTGGCACAGGACTGTGCTGAGTTCCTCCCACGTGAGGAGACTTCTTCTTAGGGTTCTACGCAGAGCTTCTTTGGTCATACGTATCAGCCTCTCCCAGAAGCCGCCCCACCAGGGCGCTCGCTGCACATTGAACTTCCACCTGACGCCTCTTGAAGCCAGAATCCTTGACGCGCGCTTGAAGTTGAGGCCGTTATCGCTATAGACGATCTCAGGTTGCCCTCGTCTTGCTGAGAATCTTTCAAATGCCTTCATGAAGTCGTCTGCAGATTGAGACTCCACTAGTTCAAGGTGCACCGCTCGTACTACGGTGCAAGTGAACAAAACTAGCCACACCTTCAGAGGGTTTTTTCCAGGAGGGTCCTTTCTGTATATTGGACCGGCCAAGTCCACTCCAACTGCCGAAAATGGCGGTCTTTGGCACACTCTCTCCTTTGGGAGTGGAGCCGCTTCTTCAACGAAAGGTTCTGTACAGAACTTCTTGCACATTGAACAATCACGAATGATCTTCCGAACGACTTGTCGGCCGCGAGGGATCCAAAACCGTTCCCGAGAGAATGGAGCGTCTGTTGCACTCCACCGTGGCATGCTTGTTGGTGTCGATCGAGGATAAGGAGCCGCACGTATCTGTGCTCTGAAGGAACGATGATGGGATGCTTCTCTGCCTGGCTCAGGTCAGATTCCTGCAGCCTCCCTCTGACCTTCATCAGATCTTGATCCATGAACGGATTCAGATTGTAAACGTTGGACTGCTTGCTGATTTCCTCTCCCTTTTGAAGCCTGGCAAGCTCCGCAGCGTACGACTCCATTTGCAGTTCCTTCAGCCAGATGTTTTCAGCCCTGCGGAGCTCTTCCACAGTCAGGTCTCCGTGCTCTCTGGTCTGGCCGGGGCGGATGGCTTTCCATCTGAGCACCCATGCAGTGACTCGGTGCAGCTTGTCGAGTGTGCTAAATCTGCTGACATCAATGACATTTTTCAGCCGGCAGCTTCCGTCAGGATGAGTTTGATGAGTCACCAGAACCGGTGCAGTTTTGCTCTTCTTTTCCTCCTTCAGACACTCCGGAGGTTCACAGATCCGATCTTGCCGCGGCCATCCTTCTTCAGGCAGCTCCAGCCAAGCAGGACCTCTGCCATAGGTCTTCCTGCATCTTCTTGACAGACACACCTCGCGACGGCAAGTCTGCCGGGTTGCTCTGGCCAGGGCAATGCCGCCAACACTCGGGAGCGAACTTTTGTTGCAGTTCCACCACACGGTTCGACACGAAGGCACCCCATCGCTGCGGGTTGCTCCGTATCCAGGCGAGTGCCACGGCTGAGTCCGTCCACAAATGTACGGAGTCCGGCTGAATGCTGAGAGCTTGGAGCACATATTCGGTGAGTCGAGCGCCGATCACCGCTGCCATTAGCTCAAGACGCGCCAGACACATGGGCTTTGTCGGCGCCAGCCTGCTCTTCGAAATCAGCAGTCTACTCTTGCGGGGATATTTATCAGTTGACCGCAGGTACACGGCGGCGGCATAGGCGTCTTGACTGGCGTCACAGAAGGTGTGGATTTCAAACGATTCAGTGTTGGCTGAACCGTAACTTCTTGGGATGCGGATCTTCTCGAGTTCTTTGAGATCCTCCTTCCACGCTTCCCATAGCCGACGTGCATCTGCTTGCATTGGGTCATCCCATCGGTTCCCTCCAATCCACAGTTGCTTCAGTAGCATTTTGGTCCGCACTGTGAACGGTGTCAGCAGGCCCAGAGGATCGAAAATCCTGGCGGATATTCTGAGAACGTTCCTCTTGGTAGGACGCAGGCTATCACTCAAGCTCACAAGGGAGCTGGGATCAAACCTCAAGCTGTCGTCCGTTGGGGCCCATACCACTCCCAGCACCTTTTTCTCTTCTGTCTCGCCATCAGGGAGCGGAATCGAGTTGGACCTGTCGTCTTCGACCGCAGCCAGCTTTCGATTGCTGGCCCATTTTCTCATATTCATCTTCGCCTCGCTGAAGATCTGCCTTGTCTCTTGGATGAATTTCTCTGCTTCCTCTTCTGTCTTCAGACTTGTCAACAGATCGTCACAGTACAAATCGGTACTCAGACGCAGAGCTGATGCAGCGCATGAGTCGATATATTGACTCAGGTGCCGCCTGATTGTTGCCTGTAGGAGATAGGGTGACGCGCTGACCCCAAAGACGACTCGCTTCATCCGGAATACGGTCGGCTCTGCTCCAGGAGTTTCTCTCCAGAGGAATCTGGTCACATCGCGATCCTCTGGATGGAGGCTGATCTGCAGGAAGGCCTTTTCTATATCGGCTGATACAGCGACTCGGTGGAGCCGGAATCTCAGCAGGATTCCAGCGAGGTCTGCGATCAGATTGGGCCCGGCCAGCACGCAGTCGTTGAGGGAAATAGGATGCCCGGCGGATGCATCAAACACAATCCGTATCTTCCCATTTTTGTACACAGCGTGGTGTGACATGACGTGTAGAGGCCCATCGGGGGTGCTGGGGGCTCGCTCGGCGTAGTCGTTCTCTATATACTGCATCAGAGCTTGCTCATATTCCTGCCTTCGTCCTCTAGACTCTAAAGCCTTCTCGCAACGGTCGAGGCG